CTGCTTCTCCCTCTGACCCTCCTCCCTCTCATGCTCTCTGTCTCTCATTCTCTCTCTTGCAAATAAATAAAAAATTAAAAAAAAAAATCAATGGAACTATATAAAAAGTCCAGAAATGAACACCAAGAAGGAAGAAATGTTACACAAGAAAGACAGAGTTTTAAATCATACAGACAGATTAGTCAATAAATAATGTTGAAACAGCAAGTTAAACACTCAGGGAAAACACCAGCCTCCCCACACCTCAGCTCACCCCAACAGGAACTCCAGATGCACATAAGAGTTAAATGGAAAGATGAAATGCAAAAGTCCGAGTAGAAAGCACACCTAAATCTTTTACAGTCTTGAAGTAGGAAAGGATGTTATAAGCCAGACGCAAAACCCCAGACATTAATGAACACTGTTCAGTTTGACTATTAAAAACTGTTGTTTCTTTTTTTTTTTTTTAAAGATTTTATTTATTTATTTATTATTTGAGAGAGAGAGGGTGAGAGACAGAGAGCACGAGAGGGGAGAGGGTCAGAGGGAGAAGCAGACCCCCCATTGAGCAGGGAGCCCGATGTGGGACTCGATCCAGGGACTCCAGGATCATGACCTGAGCTGAAGGCAGTCGCTTAACCAACTGAGCCACCCAGGCGCCCTTAAGTTTCTGAGTCAAAAACATATGTAAAATTTGAAAATCGTATCCAGGGGCGCGTGGGTGGCTCAGTCGGTTAAGAGGCTGCCTTCGGCCCAGGTCATGATCCCAGGGTCCTGGGATCGAGCCCCTCATCGGGCTCCCTGCTCAGCAGAGAGCCTGCTTCTCCCTTTCCCTCTGCCTGCCGCTCTGCCTACCTGTGCTGTCTCTCTGTCAAATAAATAAATTAAAAAAAAGAAAACCGTACCCATACTTACACCAATGCACACAACCCTACGTGCTCACACACCTCATCCGACCAGCAGAGCATAAGGTCAGTGAAAGACAAAGTAGGAGGAGTCATTCATAAGAGACACACCAAGAGGTTCCCCTTGCGCCACAGGCACCCAGCGCGCTCCCAGAGCAGCAGATGTCCCCGGTGCCGCGGGCATCATGTGGGTGAGGACAGTCAGCAGAGCCTGCAGAGCATCCGCCACAAGCCCAAACGGTCACACCCGTCATGGGATCACCCACGTTTTGAAACCCTCGCACGAGTGCACAGAGATGTTAGAAGAAACACGAATACTACAGGGGTCTGGTTAGATGCTAAAAAACAACCACTGGGAGAAAGTGGTGGGTAGGTGAGTGCGTAGAAACTACAGTGGAAAGAGCAGAGCTTGACCGTCCAATGGAAAAGCAAAGATGGCACAGCTGAGCAAGACCATTTTGGAAGGCCCCCGCCCAGGCCCGGTGATCTGTGTGCTGATGCTGGACACACAGAGATAGCCGCAGACCCTGCTCTCTATGGAGACAGACAAGAGTGAGGAGGTTGCTGATGGCAAACCAAGACGAATGCTCCGCAGGGGAGGAGGGTGCAGGGACAAGGAAGGGCCCAGGCCTGGAAGGCACCCTGCGTCTTGCAGGAAGCGTGTGCTGAGCACTGACTGCCCGGCCACCACCTTAGAGGCACCATCTCTCAACACACAGAGCCAAGCCGGTCTGGGAGAAACCCATCGCTAGTTAGCAGCTCGTTAACAGCAGGGCAGGACTCACCCAGGACTGGCTCCCGGAGGCTCCAGTCCACGCCCCTGCTAGGATGCACACTAGCAGAGGTCATGAAGGCAGGGGTAAGGAGGTATCCCTCCCAGCATCCCACACATCATCGCTGAGTGAAGAAGCGGCTTCCTCCTCATTCACCTCAACTAAGCAGTCATCCCACCACATATGCTAAGTCGACCAGGCACCGTCTAAGCCCCCAGAGTCCCAGCCCTTGGCTTGAAGGACGCCCACGTGTATTATGGCTGCCACATGACATGGCAGAGGATAACAGAGGTGCTGGGCCAACCGCACCAAGCCCAAAGTGGGTCAGAAGGAGGCATGGGAGGCGAGGAGGCCATGGACACCACTGGCCAGAGGCAGCCATGAGTCTGTCTGAGGGTCAGGGCACCATGTGGGGACATGGGAATGACCCACCCCTGCAGCAGGCCCCTGGACTTTCCCTTCTAGCACAGGAGCCAGAGAAGAATCAATTTCCAGAGTCACCAACAAGAACCTGGGCTGATGACCCAGGAAAGGCAGTCCAACAGCTCATTGCTCACAGTCCCTTGGGGACGCTGTTTCTCAACATAAGCCATGCCGAGCTGTGTCACTGGGTTCGCACGCAAACCCCCAAAGCCAGGTGGCCCTTCAGCTCAGCAAAGAAAGCACATTCCTCATAACTCCAGCAGCCAGTAAACCCTGAGCACTGGGCAGGAGCCCACAAGAGCCACAGCTTTCTCGGACCAACCTCAAGGAGATTAAATAATTCAGCTCATTGACGAGGGAGATCTGGAGCCGCTGATCACATACTAGCCACAACCTGACCGCTCACCTGGGCCTCAGTGGACCCTGGGTCTGAAAACTAAGTGCAGACACCTGCTTCCAAGCACATGGGACTAGCGGTGCATGCGAGCAAGCGTAAGCCCCACAGCCTCCACCTCTGATCCACTGATGTCCCTCAGCAGGCAGCAAACAGCCCTGGGGAGTGAGATACAGCGAGATGAAGGTCTGAACAAGCCACAGCAGCCTGAATATCGGTTTCAAGGTAACCAAGGGAGCTCAACTCAGGTCATTCCACTCTGACACCACAGAGGGACCAGAGACACCTGCTCACGTGAACCACAATGGCCTGAGGCCTGGAAATAAAGATCCTGCAGCAGCATCCCTAGACCCCTTGGGTGCCAGGACTATAGGCATGATGTAGCCGCATCACAATCAAGCCCCTGCCAAGTGTCCTACCACTGGCGATTCCCACAGGGGTCTCCCTCTGAACCACTCAAACCCAACAGCTCTAATACTCAACTCACCATCTTCACCCCTGGCCTCTCCCTGGCCCCCAACTCATCTGCCTCTTTTCCTGTTGTCATCATGCACTCAGCCATCTGGGTCAGGAATCAGCATCTCCCCTTCCTGTTCCTCCATCTCCCTCCCCACACCCTATGGTGGACTTACTGACCCTCTTCTCCTCCACCCCTACCTCCAAGACTGTCCCCTCAGAGCCAGCCCCCACCCCAACCCCACCTGTTGCCCCCACCAGACAGCCACTCCAGCCGACACCCCCACGCAAGGCCAGTGGTCTGGCTCCCCCCCACCAGGCCCGCTGCCCGCACCGCACCCCTCTGACTCACTTCACCGCGCTCGAGCAGGCCCGCCCCGCGCCCACCCCGACGAGGTCTGCAAGTGTGCAGTTCGGCCCCGCCCGCTCCCCCAGAGCCCTCTCTCCGGGCCCTAACGCTGCACCGCCGCACCAACACTAGGGCCTCGGGGCCGGCCCGGCCCAGCACCACCGAGCTCTCACCTGATTGCCTCCGGCCCTGCCAGCTTCACGACCTATCCTCTCTGACCCACAATCCTCGTGACTTTTGCACAACTCCTCCCTGCTCCAGACCGCCTCCTTCAATGTCAGAGGCATCGGGAAGGATCCTCTCAGAGCTCGGGCTCGGCTTGCCCTAGAGGACAGCCCGTCGCGCCCGCCGCGCGCCCCAAGGCCCCGGCACCCGCCCCGCCCGCCCCGGCGAGGGGAAGAAGGGGAGCGGCCAGCTCCCGGGCCTCTTCCGGGCTGTGACGCGGCACGCCCGGCTCCTCGGCCGCGCCGGGAGCACCTGAGCCCCGGCAAGGGGGCGCGCTCGGCTCCACGACGCGCGGGACCCTCCTCGCGCTCGCCCCTGACCTTGGGAAGGCGCCTCCCGACTCGGCTTCCCACGCAGCCCCGGACGAAGGGGCGGCCCCCAGACTCTCCGGCCCAGGCTCCCCCGAGGGGCGCCTCTCCGAGCGAGCGCCGCCGGTCGCCCCGGTCCCCGGTTTACCTGAGTAGCTGCCGCCGCGACCCGGGCGCCGCCCTCCCACCCAGCCGCGGCCCAGAGTGGGCAGGGCCACGCGCCGAGCCCGCCCCCGCCCCTCCGCCAACCGCGGCACGGCGCGCGGCAACCGGCCCCGCCCCCACACGATCTCTGCGCTCATTGGCCGGAGGCGCGTCCCTCTCCCTCCCTCTCTCCACCCCGCCCACCGAGCCCCAGCAAGCGGCAGTGCGCAAACTCCGCCTCGCACTCGGCCCCGCCCCCAGCCGTCCAGAGACCGCCGCTCCCGACAGTTGGGCGCGAGCGCGGCCTCCGGGCTGGCCGCAATAAATGCGGCCGGTCACTGCGCAGGCGCGGGGCGTGCACTTCCCGCTTCCTCCGCGCGGGACCTGGCTCCGTCCATCTCTGTGCCTGTCCGCATCGGACGCTTACACCTCGTAGGTCCAGGCACGCAGACACCGCTCCACACCCCGAGGAACGCATCCGGGACGCGGGCTCGGCGCGCCATTGTGCACAAAGCCAGCCCCCTCGCAAACACACACCTGTTCAGGTACACACGCCAGGTGGGCCCAACCTGGACACACCGGGCACTATCATACCTTATTATCTCTCACACAAGAACGCACCCAACAAACACCCAGAGACCCTGGGGCCGTCGACTCCTCCGAGAACAGACACGTTCAGTTGGCCAGCAGTGGGGACCAAGATGAGCAGGTGTCTGCATTCGGGAGCCTGGGCTCTGGAGAGAGGGGCAGGTAATAAGCAAACAATAAGACACGCGAAGCGCTGTGAAGTGGCGCCGCTGGGGGACGGAAGGAGGCAGGATCGGACTCAGAGGGAAGAAGCTGGGGGAGGAGCCGCGTTCTGGCACTTGCACCCGCACGGCCTCGGCCTCGGAGGCTGGAATCATCTGGGCATGTTTACAGGCCAAAAAGAAAAAAGAGTGGCGTAGCAGCTCAGGAGGTGAGAAGGGCGGTCTGAGAAGGAAGTGGTCAGCAGCACTACCTCCGGGCCTAGCAAGTGTCTTCATCTCGCCGCAGGCTGGGTCTGCAGAGAGCTGTGGGTGATGGTGTGAGGGTGCAACGTGCGGCCCCGGGGGGGGGGGGCAGCTGAACAGTGCAGGGAGGGACATCCTTTCCCAAGAGAGGAGGGGTTCAGCCCTTTTCTGTTGCAGGGGTGGAGCCCAAAAGACGGACAGAAGGCTGACCATGGGGCGCTCTGCAGATGGGGCCTGGCCCCTCGGGAAGAGCCCCGACCACCCCCCAAACCCTCTCACGCGACATGTAGAAGTTGCTAGGGCGGGAGGCAGGCCTTTTCGAAGCTCCCATCTGGAGGATTCACTTTCCTGCCCAAGCCCTCCCTCCGGACATGGCCAGTGCCCAGCATGGCCCACTGGCTCTGCCCCCTCCCCAGCCTCAGCCAGACTTTACTCCCCAAGGGCACAAACTGCCCCAGCAAACATCACAGCTGTCATTTTGCTTTGTTACGTTACTGATGTCAATCTCCTGTCTGTAACTGTAAGCTCTAGGAGAGAAAGGCCCATGTCTGTGATTTGCTCCCAAGTGCTCAGCACCAAGCCCAGCACGTGATATCATGGGTGCTCAATGCATCTCATGGAATGGTTGGATGACCGAGAATGCAGTGAAGGAGGAGGGCACAAAAGACTTTGCAAAGGGAGGGTGGACAGAGCTGTTGACCGTTCGGGGTCCTGCCTGTCTCTGCACGATTCTTACTGGCTTCCAGTTGTGTTCTGGCACTGGTGGGAGCTGGGGAGGTGACAGCTGACATGGTTCCCAGGCTCCACAGCAGCAGCTGGGAGGCACAGACACCCCTGGCCAGAGCCACACAATTGTCCCCTTTGCTGCTCCAGTCCCCTGACACCTGAATAACAACCCCCAACACCTGAGATCTGGAGGTTTCTCTTCTCTAACCTGCACGTCAGCAATGAACAAAGTCTGTGCATATTTTCTATATCCCAGGCAATTTGACAAACAAGGGCAGTGGGTGAGCAAGGGAATATTAAACACAAGGATGTGAACGCCTACTATGAGATGGGTGTGTCAGGCATGGTTGGTGGACAGGAGGCAGGGACTAAGGGAGGTGGCCATCAGCAGCTCCTGTGACTCCTTAGAACGGTGCCTGCCACACAGCAGATGCTCAATAACGTTAGCTGCTACCCCGTGGCAACAATGCTCCCAGAAGGCTCTGGAGGCCAGAAGTGAGGGGCCATGCTGGCTTCCCTCGCCTAGAGCCCAGACTGGGGACCCTTGCTTGCCTTGGGGATGTGTCAAGTCTGAGGAGAGCTTTGGGTGCCAGGCCTCCTGCAGCGTCCCTTGGCCTGGACAGAAGCTTCTAGGCCACAGCAGAGGAGTCAGGTGGCTCCCGCCCCGTGCCCTTCTTCTGGCTCAGCCTCTATTGCAGCACACCTGGCTGCCACCTTGCTACCCTCGAAAAGGAGGAGGGGCTCAGCTGAAACAGTTCTAGCACATGTTGAGTTGCCTTTCCCCTTCTTTATATCCTTGGAATCCTTGCTTACCTTCCCTCGCTCACCCTCCCCACAAGCTTCTTTAAAGGTCTTTTGTGGCCAGTCACATAAGGCCTCACCCTGCCTTGGGGATTCTCACCCCACTAAGACTGGGCCCCATGAAGGACGGGGCTAGTTCCAGCAAGATGGTCTCAGAGAAGATAGGCCCTGGGGGACAGAACTCCCCTCTTTGAGGGCACAATGCAGGGGCAGCTCTAGAACCCCCCATTCTGGAATCTGCCCCTGCTTTCCCAGAGCCTGCCTTGACCCACACCAGTCCATGGCTGTGTTAGCTTCCCACCCCAAGCTCTCAGCCCTGGTCACTCCCTTGCCTCTGCCCCGGTCCCAGAAAGACTTCAGAAATTTGGGTGCAGCCTCAAGGGGCACAGGTCCCACCAGCCTCCTCCAGCCCTGTTGTCCTAACCCCACTGAGGCACCTCCCTGCTGTTCTGGCTCCTTCCTGGTCTAGTATTCTCCCAAGGACCTGGAAGTTGGCCACCCCTAGCTCCAGAACCCCTTGTGCGTATCAGGGCCAGGAAGGAAGGGGAAGGTCAGTATAGACCCCCAAGGATGCTGCTTCCCAGCCTCACTCAAGTTCAGCAATGTGCACAAAGGACATGGGGTCTGTCCACGTCCCCCCATTCAGGGGCTGTGGTCTGCACACAAGGGCCACCCTCCACCCCTACAGGTGGCTATCAAGATCATCTCCACTGCCGAGGCCCCTGTGTTCTCCCAAAAGTTCCTGCCTCGTGAGATATCGTCACTCAATGCTACCTACAAGCACCTGAATGTGGTAGGCAGAGACCCCGAAACAGCCCATGCCCATCCTGCCCATGCCCTGCTGCACAGGACCACCCCCTTTCCCACCAGGGACCCTTATGCTTGGGGCCCAGCCCCATCCCGAGACCCTGAGCCGATGCACTGGACAGCCCCTCCCTGGGTGATAGCAGCGGGGTCCGGCAGGTGCAGCTCTATGAGACCTACCAGAATAGCCAGCGCTCCTACTTGGTGCTAGAGCTGGCAGCCCGCGGTGACCTCCTGGAACACATCAACGTGGTGTCGGACCGCTGCTGCCACCCGGGGCTGGGAGAGGAGGCGGCCCGCAGGCTCTTCTGGCAGCTGGTCAGTGCCGTGGCCCACTGCCACAGCTCGGGCATCGTGCACCGGTGAGGGGGCTGCCCCGCCTGCCCCCACCTGCCGCAAGAGGCCCACCTGAGCCCGGGACCAGCACCACTTCCCTTTCCCATGCAGGGATCTAAAGTGTGACAACATCCTGCTGGACGACCAAGGCCTCCGAAAGCTGACCGCTGAGCCTGTGGCCCAGCCCCACCCCCTTCCCTGGACTCCCTGACTCATGACCTCAGCCTTCAACTTCTTCATGAGGCCCACCCATTTTCAACTGCTGTCCCAGCCAGGACCCCAGCCTCCACCCTCGCCTGCTTCAGACTTTCTTCTATTGCATTGAAGACCCATTTATTCATTTGAGAGAGAGAGGAGGGGCAGAGGGAGAGGGAGAATCCTGAAGCAGGCTCCCTGCTGAGCGCGGAGCCAGACGCAGAGGTGGGGCTCCATCCCAGGGCCCTGAGATCCTGACCTGAGCCAAAACCAAGAGTGGGCCACTCAGCTGAGCCACCAGGCGCCCTGCCTGCTTCAGAATTTTGACCCCCACCTGGCTTGACCTTTAACCCTCCCAGGAGGCCCGGCCCACGCTTGCCTACACTTGTGCTTGCAGACATCTACACACTCCACATCTGCCCCACAGCCATCCGTCCTGAGCCCACTGTCCCTTCCCCTCCTGCTCCTCCCATGGTCTACTGCTTGCTCGTGCCCCCCTGTGCGCCCCTGGCAGACTTTGGCCTCGCCAACCGGTCGGGCCTCAAGAACTCGCTGCTGAGCACCTTCTGCGGCTCTGTGGCCTACACAGCTCCCGAGATCCTCATGAGCAAGGAGTACAATGGGGAGCAGGCCGACCTGTGGAGCCTGAGTGGTACCCACAGGCTCCCCAGCATAGGACCCATGGGGGGGCAAGAGAGGAGGCATGCCCTGAGGAGCCTGTGTCCCCGGGGCATCGTCCTTCATGCCGTGGTGACTGGGGAGCTGCCCTTGAAGGGGCACCAGGCCCACCACATGCTGCACCTGATGCGCCACGGCCCACCTTCAGGCCAGGCACGTACCCAGGTGAGGGAGAACAGCCTGTGTCCCTCCCAAATCCCAGCATGAGCGACCTGGGTCCAGGGGCGCCTGGGGGCTCAGTCGGTTGAGCGTCTGCCTTCGGCTCAGGTCATGACCCCGGGGTCCTGGGATGGAGCCTTGAGTCAGGCTCCTGGCTCAGCGGGGAGCCTGCGTCTCCCTCTCCCTCTGCCTGTGCTCTCTCTCTCTCTCTCAAATAAATAAGATCTTAAAAAGAGAGAGACCTGGGTCCAGAGAAGGGTCATCCTGCGGTGAGGGGAGTGGCAGTGGCACGGGAGGCTGACCTGGCACCCCACTCCCAATAAAGCTGGTAAACGGACTGTAGCAAAGAGGAGAGAGGGCAGCGGGGCCGGGGAGGTCCAGACTCAGACTCCTTGTCTGGAAAGGCAGTGGTCCCGGTGAGCTCGGAGCTCCGCACTGGCACAGGGCAAGCCACCTTCCCTCTCTGTGCCTCAATCTCATGACTGGTGAAGCATGGACTCCCTCCAGGCGTTTGGGCGACTGAATGGGATTCCTCCCCCAAACTGCCAGCATCGTTGACAGGGATGGGCACGCGCAAGAGGGTAGGCAGTGGGAAGCCACAGCTGTGAGCCCTTGCCCACAGAGTGCCAGGACCTGATCCGGGGCCTGCTACAGCTACGCCCGCGTGCACGCCTGGACCTGCAGCAGGTGGCCGCCCACTGCTGGATGCTGCCCGCCGCGCAGGCCCTCTTCTGCACCATGCTCAGCTTGGCGCCAGGTAGGGTGGGGTCCCAGGGGGGTGGGCAGGTGGTTGGCCCCTCAGTGCCCCTCCTGATCCCCACGGCTGTCGGCTGCAGAGAAGCCAGCTAAGTCCCAGCTGCCCACAACCCTTGACCACACGGAGCGCGGCAGAGACTCAGAGCCTCCGAGGCAGCTCCTGCAGCTGCGGCGCCCCCAGCAGGGGGGCACTCACTGCGAGAGTGCTTCTGGCCCGGTGCCTGAGCCCCCAGAGGCAGTCCCAAGAAGAGGTGCAGGATCTGCCCAGCTGGGGCTCCGGAACCTGGCGGCAGCCAGCCTGGGGGTGGGCACCTCCAGGCAGCCACTGTGACTGAGCTCCACGTTTGCCACCAGGACCACGCCTGGGCACTACCTGGTCAACTGAGGAGGAGTAGGCCCAGGTGAGGCCAGATAAAACATTTATTTTATGGAGGGGATGCTGCTGTCTCAGCACAGGCCAGGGCAGCCAGCCACGGGGAACCCACTAGCACTCCCCATCCAGGGAGAACGCGAGCCCACGCGCCTCCATGCCAGAGCTTTACTCGGGAGGAGGCAAACACAGAGGGTACCACAGAGACAGGAGATACCTCGTTTCCATGAGGCACCCAGCCTTGGTGGAACTGGAGTGGACCTCCGGCTTTGGAGGCAGTGACAGGACTGAGGACGTGTGGAGTGAGGGTGCTGGGAAGTCAGGGCGTCAGGCTGCACTCCAGTGCCAGAGTGCAAGGGAGTCCTATGCCAAAGATGGCACCAGGAAGGGAGCACAGTGCGGGGAGGGCCACGCGGACAGCCTACCAGGCTTGGCTTGGCAGCTGCAGAACAGAGGACCCACACAAGGGGCTGGGGGAGAACAAGTTTCTTGGGCCCAAAGGGGGCGCCACGGGGGCAGAGGGTGGTAAGGGAAAAGGTCTGGCAAAGAGCAAGGCTGCAGGCCCATCAGGAAGACTCTCCATGTGTGAGGCAAGGGGCTCTGAAACTCAAGGAAACTGACCAAGGATAGAGCCTAGTTAGTGGGGACAGCGAGCCGCATCACATCAGTCCTGGGCTGGAGAAACTAGCAAGGGACTGAGCAGGACGGGGGAGGGGATGAAGAGAGACAGTACCCAGCAAGCGCTCCAAGGACAAACCAGGGGGGCGCAGCTCTAGGAGATCCCAGGACAGGCTGAGGCTGGTGAAAGTCACGAGAGGTCAGTCCTTTGAGCCTGGATCTCTGGCAGGGCAAGCCGAGGACCCCAGGATTGAAGACTCAGGTTGGACTGGCAGCAAAGGGCACTGCTTGCACCTGGATGCCCACCGATGCCCAGACCTCTGTAGTGCCCTTGGGGGCTGCTCAGGCTTGTACGGCTTATCTGTCCAGCCCCATCGGCCACCTTCCTGGAGGTACGTACCTGAGAGTCACAGGGCGTGACTAGCTCTGGCTGATCAGTGCTGGTCTGAGCAAGCTGAGTTGCTCGAGGGCACGAGGAGGTACCCCGACCCTCGCAGGTTTATTGGGCATTCGCCCTAGACACCTCACCCTGAGCGTAAGCGTAGCTCTGCTTTTCAGCAGGGAACAACCTCTGAGCAAGGAGACCCAGAGGCCTGCGGGTGGCTGCAGGAAGGCCTGGACTGAAGGGCTGGCAAAGGTGGGCCTGGAGCTGGTGGTGGGTTGCAAGGGCCTCAGGTGGGTGTAGCCCCCTCTGCTTGTGGTTCTGGGGCCAGCTCCTGTGGCTGCACCTGGGTGTGCTGCTCCAGCTCCTGGTGGTCCAGCTGCTGCAGCTGTCTCTCCACATCCTCGGGCACCTGTACCTCCAGCAGGTTTTCCATGCCCGGCTCTGGCTCATCCCCAATGAGCACCTGCCAGCACGGGAGGCAGGTGAGCATCTGGCTGGCACACCACGGACATCCACCCCCCCTTCCCCACAAGCCTCGCACCCACCTGAATGAGTTTCTCACAAGTCACCTGCACGTCGGGCTCTGGCTCCCAGCTGTGTAGCTCACGCAGGATCAGGTAGGCTCCCTGGTTTCTCACCTGCTGCCGACCAGACGCTGTGGCTGTTAGCTGGAAGACGGCAAAGGTCACACAGGTATCAGTGCACTCACGTATGTGTGGGCATGTTGCGAGGTGGCGTTAGCATAGCAGGACCCCTGCTCACCAGCATGATGGCCTCGAGGAGCATCTTGCGGATGTCAGCATCAGGCTCTCGCTGCTTGTCTGGCGGCAGATACTGCAGGTCGGCAGGCAGCCCTAGAGGTGTATGTGGGGTTACTGCGTGCCAGCACCGGGTAGCTAGGCCAGACCCTGCCTTGGTAAGCCCCGTCTGTGCTCAGCATCTCCCTGCTGGAAGGTTTCAGAGGGAGTCCTGATGGGCGCATCTGCCCGCCCCCCCAGTGGCCTTCCCCTCCCCCCGCCAACCCTGAGGCTCCACCCAAGCCACTCACGCTCCATCTCCTCCTCAGAGAAGTCCTCAGGCCCAGCCAGGGGCAGCAGCAAGAAAGGGAGAATGTCCACCTGGGGCCCAAGCAACCACTCGTGGTGTCCTGAGGGGAAAACAGAAATGGGAGCCAGCCTAGAGGGGGGCCCCCCGAAGTGGTCTCTTTGCCCCAGCCCGCCCAACCGCAACACCCTCACCCCCATCACCACTCACGATGCTCGAAGCAGCAGTTTCGGAGAGTCCCCACCACCCCGCCCCTGCGCACCGAGGAGTCTGAGAACTGGGTAAGGGGCAGCAGCCGCTGGACCACGCACCTGGAGGGAGGGACCACTCAGTGCCATCCCTGTTCACTTGCAACCCCTCCCCGCGGGCGCCCCGGGCGTCACCTCTCGCGGTCCAGCAGGAAGGCCCGCGCCGCGGGACGCTGGCTGAGGTTGGAGAGCACTGGCCCCAGGTAATGCAGGGGCGCCCGGGCGTTGTAGTCGGGCGTGCACAGCGCGCGCACCAGCCGCTCCAGGCCCGACTCCCCCGGCTCCTCGGCTTCCAGCGCTGCCATCAGCGCGGCACACGGCGCCGGCTCGCGGCTGAGATTGGCCAGCGCGGCGGCCGCCTCCTCGGCCCAGGGCCACGCTGGGTCCAACGCGCGGCCCAGCAGGCGGGCAGGCAGCGCGGGCTCGGCCTCCAGCAGCCGCTCGTGCAGGCCGGGCTCGGCAGCCAGGTTGACGAGCGCACGAGCGGCGTCGCGGGCCGGGGCCGGGGCCGGGGCCGGGGCCGCGGCCGCAGCCAGCTCGACCAGGGCCCGCAGCAGCGCCTCCTGGCCGGCCAGCAGCGCCCGACCGGGCCCAGAGCCGGTCAGCGCCAGCACGTGCCGCACCGCCTCCGCCTGCAGGTCAGCCCGCGCCCCGGGCGCCAGGAAGGGCAGCAGCTTCGCCACCTCCGCCTCCACGCCGGCCTCCGGCATCGGCAACCCTGCGGGAGATAGCCCATCAGCCGGCGCGCCCATGCCAGTCCGGGCCTCCCCCATGCCTGCAGGTGCCTCCCGATCACCCACGCCGCCACCGGGCTCGAGAACCCGCCCATCAAGGGAGCGGAAGCCGCAGCCACCAATCAGAGGCTGCCGACTCTGCGCGCGGGGCGGGGTCGGCGTGCGGAGGCGGGGCCACGCCGAGGCCCGGGGCATTGTGGTCTGGGTGCCCCGCTCCCCGCCCCCGGCCGCGTTGGTGGGGGGGGCCGGGGGCTGGAGGGAGGAGGTGCGCGAACCGAAGCCGGGAATCCTGGCTGTGACACCGGTCCCCGGGCCCGGCCAGCCACTGGTGGCTGACTGACGGCACCGGCCCCATTCCGTCGTGGGTGGGGCAGAGATCTGTCGCTGGACGAGTCACATGATCAGTTACTTTAATTGACTTTCTAATATTAGACCAGCCTGTGTTTCCGGCATAATCTCCGTTTGGTCATGATAATACTTAACGTTTTTATATGTTGTATTGAGTTTGCTAAAATTTTGTTTAGAATTTTTACGTCCTGGTCTGTAGTTTTCATATAAAGCCCTGGTTTTCTTATCAGAGTAGTACTGGCCTCTGGAGGATTGGGGGAATGTTCCCTCTTCTTCAGTTCTCTGGAAGAGTTTGTGAAACTAGTATTTCTTCTGTAAGTGGTTGGTAGCAATACCCAGTGAAGCCATCTGCGCCTGAAACTTCCTTCTAGAAAGATTTTGCGACCAATAACCCTTTAATAGACACATAGCTATTCAGGTTGCCACTTTCCTCTTGAGTGACTTCTGGTAGTTTGTGTTTCTCAAGGAATTAGTTCAGATGAAATTGGTTTAGATGGAAATCTAAAGTGTCAAATTCATTGGCATCAAGTTGTTCATAATCTTCCCTTATCCTTTTAAGGGAAGTGGTAGTGTCACTTCTCATCCCTGATGCTGTCCGTTTTTGACTTGTCCGTCTTGCCAGAGATTTGTCCATGTTATTGACCTTACTAAAGAATCATGTGGGATTCATATATTTTTTCTATTTTCTTTTTAGATTTAGTGAATGTCCACATTGACCTTACTATTTCCTTTCTTCTGCTTATTCCGGGTTTAATGTGCTGTTCTTTTTCTAGTTTCTTTAAGGTAAAGGCTGATTGATTTGAGACATTTTCTAATACAAGATTTTGCCCTCATCTATTCCTTGCCTCTCGGATTATGTTATGTACTTCTGCATAGGTTAATAGCCCCTTAGTAGATTGATATTATTTTTATTTCACTCTAAGGGCTAGAACAAAGCCTGTAGGGACAGTGATGCCCGGGAGAGCCACTGAGGGGGAATAGCATGCCCCTGAAGGCAGCGGGTAATCAGGTCCTAGAGCCGGGATTTGCCCCCAGGTGAGACCTACAGGCACCTCATAGCCTCAGTCCCAACCTAACCTTGTGTGGAAAGCCACTTGCCTGAAATTGAGGAAGAGGGTAGACAAGTCCAAGGAAATGCCCACCTCTCCAAGGAAACCACATGCTCTGACACACAGATCCTGCCCATAAGAGTTGAAAATTTCTCAAGAAATGGAGTCGGAATATTATGGATAATGTAGGTAATTGATGCCCTCTGGTGCATCCGGTGGGTACGTCTGACTGAGACAAAAGTGTGCACCTTCAGAGCCCACTGGTGTCCAGAGGCGAACCAGCAAGCACTTGCTTTGACGGATTCAAGGAAGCGTTTACAGTAATCACCAGGTATGGAGCCTTAAATATTCCCAAGATAAATTAAAAGATACAAAGTTACTGGAAGTAATTTCAAAGTTCAAGTTACAAGAATTGTACAAAGAACTTCCACTACCTTTGACTCAGACACCTCAGTCAAATTCCTAAGTTACCCCACTTATCCCAATACTGACCTTTTAGCAGAGGGTGCTGTCACGAGTACTTTCAGTCTCCTTCAACTGGTAGCTACTCTTCAGTCTTTGACTTTCATGCCCTTGACACTTGCAGAATACCAACCAGCTCTTTTGTAGCATGTTGCTCAGTTTTTGTCTGGTTGCCTCATGATTAGATTCAGGTTATATATTTCTGGCAGGAAGGGGGCGCCTAGGTGGCTTAGTCGATTACGTATCTGCCTTCAACTCAGGTCATGATCTCAGGGTCCTGGGATGCAGTCCCGCACTGGGCTCCCTGCTTAGTGGGAGGTCTGCTTCTCCCTCTCCCTCTGCCCCTCCCTCTGCTCGTGCCCTCTCTTAAATAAATGAAGGAAGGAAGGAAGGAAGGAAGGAAGGAATACTATGGAGGTGAGGCTGAGCTCTTTTTGTTGAGTCCCATCAGTTTGCCCCCACAGTGGAGATGTTTATTTTGATTACTTAATTAAGGTGAATTGCCCAGGATTTTCACTGTTAGGTTACTCTTTTTCTCTTTGTATTTAGTAAATGTTTTATGGGGAAATACTTTGAGACCATGTAAATAGTCCATTCCTCATCCACCTTTCACTCATTAGTTTTTGCATGTAGTTTTTAATTATTGTAGGGGAGAAAGCTTTCTCTTTACCTATTTTTGTTCATTTATTTGTTTATCTCAATGAAGACTCATGGAGTCTTATTTATTAGTGTTTTTAAAGTTAATTTATTGAAGTAATCTCCACACCCAGTGTGGAGCTCAAACTCATGACCCCGAGATCAAGAGTCACTCGCACATCCAATCCAGCCAGGTGCCCCTCATGGAGTCTTACTTTATTCAAAGAAATAAAACACTTTACTCTCATTATTGTGATCCAAAATTTGGCCATTGGAAGGACCTTCAAGGATGGTCCTGTGTATTATTTATTTTATTTTTTTAAGATTTTACTTATTTGAGAGAGGGAGAAGAGTGCAACTCGGAGAAAGGGTCAGGGAGGAGGGGAGAAAGAGGAGAGGGAGAGAGAATCTGAAACAGACTCCATGCTGAGCATGGAGCCTGATGGCAGGGCTCAGTCAAACCACTGAGAGATCATGACCCCAACAGAAACTAAGAGTTGGGTGCTCAACCGACTGAGCCACCCAGGCGCCCCTCCTGTGGTATTATTTAAAATAGCTTTATTGAGGTGTGCCTGGGTGGCTCAGTTGGTTAAGCATCTGCCTTCGGCTCGGGTCATGATCCCGGGGTCCTGGGATCCAGTCCTGCATCAGGCTCCCTGCTCAGCGGGGAGCCTGCTTCTCCCTCTGCCTGCCGCTCCCCCTGCTTGTGCTCTTGCACGCTCTCTCTTTCTGTCAAATAAATAAAATCTTAAAAGAAATAACTTCAGGGGCGCCTGCGTGGCTCAGTCGTTAAGCGTCTGCCTTCGTCTCAGGTCATGATCCCAGGGTCCTGGGATCGAGCCCCACATCGGGCTCCCTGCTCAGCGGGAAGCCTGCTTCTCCCTCTCCCACTCCCCCTGCTTGAATTCCCTCTCTCACTGTGTCTCTCTCTCTGTCAAATTAATAAAAAAAAAAATAACTCTATTGAGATGTAACCCATATACCATCCAAATCATCCATTTAAATTCAATGTTTTTTGGTATATTACATGATTAATTTTGTAAACGGTAGTAAAATGTATATAACAAAATTGGCCATTTAAACCATTTTTTTAAGTATGCTTTACGCCCAAGATGGGACTTGAACTCATGACCCCAAGATCAAGAGTCGTATGCTTCACCAACTGAGCCAGCCAAGGCGCCTAAACCATTTTTAAGTGTACAATTAGTAGCATTCATTACACTCACAATGCTGTGCAATCATCGCGACCATGTACTTCCAAATTGTTTTCACCACCCAACAGAAACTGTAAACTTCAAGCATGCATTTCTCCCTCTCTCCTCCCTCCAATGACCTCTAATCTACTTTCTAAATAGATTTCTCTCTTCTAGGAACCTCAACGGTACCCCTTGTGTAGCTGCGACGACGTCAAAACCAAGGAGTCTGTGTGGTTTATGCCACTTTACCACCTGTGGAGACTCATGGAACCAATGCGGCTGTCAAAATAGGGAGCGGTGTCATCGCCACGAAGACCTCCTTGTGCCGTGCGAGCTCCCAGCCTTGCCCCGGGGAAGCACAAACCTGTTCTTCCTCTGTAACTCTGTCACTTCTCGAGTGTGACGGAAATGGAATCACACCGCAGATGACCCCTGGAGGTCGTCACGCGTGTCACACGTTTCATTTTTATGGCCACGGAGTACCCCGTGGTGTGCACCTGCCAGTGGGGTGGCCGTTTGCCTGTTGAAGGACCTTTGTGTCATTTCCAGGCTGAGGCTATTACAAATAAAGCTGCTGTAAAACACTGGTGTCCGGGTTTTTGTACGGACACGGATCTTCATTCCTCTGGGGTAAATGCTGAGTTGTAGGTATGGCTGCTGGATTGTAGGTCCTGGTATGTTCAGTTTTTGAGAAACTGCTGAATGGTTTTCCAGAGTGTGCGGACCATTTTGCGTTCCCACAAGCAAGTATGGAGATCCAGTTGCTCCGAATATTCACCAGCATTTGGTGATGTCAACTCTTTTTATTTTAGGTATTAATTTGCGTTTCTCTAATGGCTAGTGATGTGGAGCATCTCCTCTTTGGTGAAATGTCTGCTTCTTTTGTCCATTTTCTAGTGGGATTGTTTGGTTTCTACCATTAATTTTGAAAGCTGTTTTGTTGTTTTTTTTTTTCATTCTAGCTGGATGTTCTTTGTGGACAGGCCATTTGCAGGCATTTTCTCCTGGTCATGGCTTGTCTTTCCATCCTAACAGGGTCTTTCACAGAGCAGAAGGTTTAAAATTTGATAAAGTCCAACTTTCTGATTTCTTTCATATATGGCGTTTTGAGCATCATGTCTGAGAATACTTCATCAGTTGCTCGTCCAGAAGATCTTTTATATTTCCTTCTCAATTTTTCCTAGTTTTACATTTAAATATACAATTCACTTTGAGGTTTGTCCCTAATTTTATGGTCTCTTTTGCCATAAATTTTTAAGATTTTATTTATTTGAGAGAGAGAGAGAGAGAGGGAAAGCATGAGCAGGGGGGAGGGGCAAAGGGAGAGGGAGAAGCAGGCTCCCCGCTGAGCAGGAAGCCCAATGCGGGACTCAATCCAAGGACCCTGGGACCATGACCCAAGTGGAAGGCAGACGCCTAACCGACGAGGCCACCTAGGCGCCCTTTGCCATAAATTTTTTTTTTTAATCTGCAAATATGTCTATCTTTTCCTTCTGAGTATTCTGAGTGAATATTTTTCTAAATTACCTTTTGATATATTTATAGTTTTAGTTTCTACATTGCAATCTTCAAATCATCTGAACATTACTTTTGTAAATGATGTGAGAAAGGGGTCTAGGGACCCTGGGTGGCTCAGTTGGTTAAGCGTATGCTTTCAGCTTGGAGGGGAGCCTGCTTCTTCTGCCTCTGCCCCTCCCCTTGCTTGTGCTCTCTCTTCTCTCTCTGACAAATAAAATCTTTAAAAAAAAAAAGGGGGTGTCTGGCTTTGTTTTCTTTCTTTTTTTTTTTTCAAAGATTTTATTTATTTATTTGAGAGAGAGAATGAGAGACAGCACATGAGAGGGGGGAGGGTCAGAGGGAGAAGCAGACTCCCTGCTGAGCAGGGAGCCCGATGCGGGACTCGATCCGGGGACT